TTATCCTGAAAAGAATCTCAAAAGCTTTAATAGTTTAATTTAGAATGAAAATATTCCGAAAAAGTCTGACGTGCTCAAAGCCTCGTAAAAATTTCATTCTAATCTGTAATAACCTGGAAATTCTACCGTTTTTCAATTAACCGTAAATGCCTTTACTACACAAACTTGTGGGTTTAGACGGAAAATTTCCACATATCTTTTGCAGCACCACCTTCTAGTGTTTCAATTTTTAAAATAAAAATTAATAGCTTAAGATTTTTTTAAAGTTAATTATAGGCTATTTCATGTAATACTGAAGTGTCGTGCAACGAACTAGAAATTTTATATAGTAACCAAAAAACTACAACTCGAACAACCATCCATCAAAAATTTACATCTTACCTAATTTAAATTATTATTATTATTATTATTATTTTTTTTTTTTTTATTTTATTTAAAACGTCATATAACAACATATTAAATATAAAAAAACCCATCCTTCATTAAACGGTATACAAAACATAATACATGAACAAAAATACACCTTATAAAGTACGCTGCAGCACATATCCGATATTTACACCTAAGCCAATAGTATTCCCAAAAACCATATATGATGAAATATTTTTTTTTTTTTTTTTTTTTTTTTTTTTTTTTTTTTTTTTTTTTAAAATTTTAAAAAATATACAATATATAATAATCATAGGATTACCTATCATTACATTCATAGTAAGTATAATTACAATTGTTCATATATACACTAGAACGGTTATAAAAAAATTCGTAGTCCCTATTCTTTTGTCCTAATCCCAAGGTAACAAGAATATACAAATTTTCTTTAACAAAATTAAACCTCTTATATACATTATAAAACAAGAAACTATTCATCAATAATAAAAATGCCTTAGTGTTTGATTTTATGTCAAAAAACCTTTGTAAAGACATTAATACAAAAACAAGGCATATATAACAAATATCAAAAACGAACGATATTTTAACGCAACTGGTAGTAAATTTTACTTGATTACTGCAAAGATACAAAATTTTCAGTACATTAACAAAAAGTTCACTTAATAGCATGAGATAATTCTGAATTGCCAAACAGTACATTATGCAACATACCCACACACACATTTTACAAATATACACACACACTTATGAAGATTATGTACACTTTACAAAATTGTTACCCTCATATTGATCACATTCAAAACATATATCCAGGAGACCCAACCCAGAACGTTACCAGGTATCATCCACATGGCTGATAACAAGGAAAATTAAAATGAAAAACTATATATATAAGTTGCTCAAGTGCTTTTCCCATAAAACCTGTCAGCAGTTCATGTGTTTGCTTCACAAAAACCCACTCTCTTAATCACGCCCAATTAAAAACAAAAAATTAGTTTCCAAGCAAGTATATATATTGTTTGAATAAAACTTCACCCAAACTAACGATTCCTATCATTATACATTAAACCGCACCCAATTCCAATCGTATGCACCTCACTCACACATATTCAAGAAGCCAGCTCGTGTACCCTTTAAGGTATAACCCCCCATAAATTCCTGACCTGAATCTGCCATTCCTTTGAAAATAGAAAAACATCTATTTCCCGTAATGTCTTATTTCTTGTTGTGTTACATAAAATATCGCTACCAGTGCTCTGATTCTCTCCCTCACAGTAAATGCCTATATCCATGACGTTAACAAAATCGTCACAAAATTTCCGATTGTTCTGTACCGGCGTTTCGACCCCCCCCACATCTAACTTAAAAGCTCTTAAGACATTTAAACCCACCCCCTCCCACCATTCTTAACACTTTACCAAACCACAACCTTACGTGTTCAATCTCTTACAGAAATAAAACATGAATAAGACCGTACAGGATCTCCACACACACAACACAGCCCCCCCTCCTGCACGCGCCTATTCGCTAAAACTTCCCCGGACGGCAGTATATTATGTAAAAATTTAAACATTATCCCCCTGACCTTGGCTCGTAACCTTAATGTTTTTAAAAAGACCCCATATGTCCTTCCATGATACATTGGATATATTCCCTCCACCTTAGCCACTACCTCCCTGCCCTCTACCAGTGCCAATTTGCCGATCTTGATCTTGTGTGGATTTTTACATAAATTAACATCCTCAACATGTCCTCACATCTCTTTACATCCGTTCCGGTCAACCAACGTACCAAGTCCCGTCTTATCCAGGTCAAACCGTGCCAGCCTTTTTACCCTCTCTCAAGTAGCTATGCTTGACATACATGCCTAACATTCTATTATGCAGATTCATTAACCCCCAGGCCACCCCGGCCACCGGGAGCGACACCACATCCCTCTTTAAAACCAATCACAACCTGAAACCCCAAATATATCTATAAACACGCGTTAACATCGCTTTTCATCATATGGATGTAACGGATAAATAATGCCACATGCCACAACTTACTGAACAAAATCACTTTTCCCCACAATTGCGCGCTGATGTATAGACAAGCCTCCTTCCCTCAAACCTGTTAAACGACCAAAAAACCCTCTCTACAGCCTCACTTGAATTCACCTTCCTCGCTTCCTGTATGTTATCCCTATGCACAATCCCACACCCCTTTAAATTTTGATTTACTAAAGGCCAGCCTTCCCTCTGGCCTAATCCCACACCCGCACAATCCCCCACCTCCATAAGCATTGATTTTTCCTTATTAACCGACATTCCGGTTGCTTTCCCGAAACAGTCCACCAATTCGCTCACTTTTCAAAAACCCTTGGCTCCACGAAATTAAAACCGTAGTGTCGTCCACGAACCTATAATTCCTGATTGTCCCCCCACCCAACCTTGCTTGTCATCCTGTCGTAAAACCCCCCTCACGGCTCTAAAAACGGGTCCTGAATAACGCAAAAAGAATTTGTAAAAATAGGACACCCCTGCCGTAATCCCCTATGCATCCTAACAACTTTTCCCACCTACCGTTTACCTGCACCCTAAACGTAGCCTGCTCGTACAAAACCTGTGCCCAACTAACAATTTCCTTTCCGAAACCTTGCCACTGCATAAACTTCCTTAATGCATCTCCCCTCCACGCAATCGTATGCAGCGTGCCAATCTAAAGCTAATATTCCACCCTTATTACCCCTCCGCTTTCCCAATAAACCCCTGCGAAAAAATTCCTTGTCCCACACACATAGATCGTCCTGGCACACCATATTGTCCCTCGTCCAGAACTCTCTCCAAAAAACCCGTTTTATCCTATTTCCTAATAATTTCGCAAAAATTTTATAGTCGCCACACATTAATGAAATTGCCCTATAATTATGTATATAATTCCCAGTTTTTTTTTTCGGGACTAGAACAACCCCTGTTCTTTGTTGCTGTCCCATAATGCCACTACTTTTCATGGCATTAAATAATATCACCAAAAAATCGCGAATACAATCCCATTGTCCTTGTAAAAAATCACAAAGGGATTCCGTCAATCCCCGGCGACTTCCCTACACTCATCCCCTCCACCTAACCTAATCTCTTCTTCATTTTATAGGTCCATTCAAAGCCAACCTGTCCATGTACTCTAGATTACAAGTACATATTCACCCATTTCTCCCAGGGGCCCCTAGAAATCCCAGCATTTTTGTATTGCAATTCATACCATGCGTCTACAAAGGTATTCATAGCCTCCGTTGACCGAAGGACCTGCCCCCTACTAAAGTTTCCCAATGACTCCTGAACCTTAATCCATTAATTCTGTCGCCTTACGGCGTCTGCCCCGCTCTCGCAAGACATACGCCGAAGGACGGTCACCCCATAAAACCTCATCAATTTCCCCTTGCTATCCGCGCCGCATCAAAAAATCGATTGTGAAAGTCTCTAATTAAGCGTTTTTAATTTTCAATTTCAACCACCGGATACACTCCCCACCCTTTGTATAACATGCTTGCAGTTGATTTTCAAGATAGTTCAAGAGCCCATACTGCATTCTCTTGTCTTCTTTTCCTTGCTGCTGATAAAAATTTCCCCACCTTCACCTTACCCACAGTATCCCCCCATTCGACTATATCAATTCCCTCCTGCCATTCAGCCCACCATTTCCCCTCCAAGCACTCACAAAATCTTCCCTCACACCTCTTTTGTGCATTAAAACCCCCATTCAAACTTCCCGAAACCTCTGTAAGCCTCGGTAAACCTACCCAGTCAACATCCGCCATAACACCTCTGTGATCGGGAAAAGCTCACATTTAACACACGTACAACTCCTGACGCTGACACCCCTAGAAACGTATATGCGATCCAGTCTTGCCGCATACTCCCTTCTAACGAACGTATGCATGACCCCACCCACCTCATCCCCCCCCCCCACTCCGTAACATTAACACTCCGCAAAAGGTCCCTAAAAATCCTGAAAAAAAACCCTCTCCCTCTCGGTTCGACAATCCTTGCGGGCGATCAGTGCAATTCCAATCACCCCCAATAATCGTGACGGGCTGCAGTGATCTTAAATGGTACACCAACACGTCCCTAAAAAACGCATTTTTTACACGCATGTCACCTTCCGCCGGTCCGTACACCCCCCGGAAGGCCACCCGTACCCCACCCCCACACCCCATCAACCCTAACAACCCTCCCCTCCTCTCCCACCTCATATGTTTGCAAAGAAAAAAGGGCTAGCCTCTTTAACTAACACTGCTACACCACCTTTCAGTCTATTAGAACAGCCCATGTACAAAATTTTATTCAGGAATCGCAATTCACCTAAAGATTTATAATTGTGTTCTTGTAAGAATACAACATCGGGTACATAATTTTTTAACAAAACCTCCCAAAAACTTACGTTTTTCAACAGACCGTAACCCATTTATATTTAAGTAAGGACACTTGAACGTTTCATTGGGGTTTACCCTTGGATTTCCTTGACATTCTTGGTTCCCTTGTGTGTATCTCACTTCTTCCCCCACCCCCCCTGTGTCGTTCTCCTTGACATGCTGAACACATGTAGATTTGCCCCTTTACTCTACGAGTCACATCGCACCATGCTTTGTTCCCCGACCGTTGTTTCCCGGTGTCAAAACATCTTGAGAGTCAGATATCACCGCCACTCTCTTACGAGAACTGCGGCCAGTTTTCCATCTCATCTTCGAACTGTTGTTTCTATGAACTTCCACGACCACAACCTGATGTTTTAGCAATATGCCCGGCGGATGCCCCGTCCTTCTCCTTCACACTTACATCCTCTAAACCACCGTGAAGCCCCTCAGATGTGGAAGCATCCAATAAAACTTCAGAAAATTCTTGAATAGATTGCTCCACGTCAACCTGAGTATGAACGAGATCTTCCTCAGTCGTCGCCGATACCACGCCCACGTCCCCCACTGCACCAGGGAGGGTTAAGACAATCGGCGAGTCTTCAACCTCACCCTCTACCTCCTCACTCCATGATTTACGAGGCAATATATGTTGTTGTGTAGCAGCAGCATATGATCCCCTGCTCCGTTGAAACATCAAACCGCCTTACCTCCGTCGTTTTATCACGTCTTGTAGGGCATTGCGCCGCCATATGGTCATACATCCCACAAATCCTGCACGTACGCCTTTGTCCTGAGTACGTAAGTACACTTGCGTACGAAAGTCCTCCATAACCACATACGACGGAATAGGGTGCTTGAGGGACATTTTCAGGGGAGAAAGACCCTCCAGCATACCAACTAGAGGACCATCATGCCACCGTCCCATAGTTGCCGTATGAACCGTGCCATAGCGTGCAAAAACATTCCTCAAATCATCTCGTCCCCCTCAAAAGGAACGTTTTCGTACCTTGATCCAGGTGTAAAAAACGGGAGACGTCGTGAAGTCGAACAGTGACACCAGGATTAAACAGTTTTGATCACATCCTGATAAGTGGCAACCATATTTTCGTAAGTACTTTTTGTCTGAATTTGACAAAAAGCCTCGAATTTCCGTTCAAAGAGACACCATACAGATCTTCATTTTTGATACCATATGTATCTCGGAGTATCGCAGTAAGCAGTAGATGTGTATTCTGATTGTTGAACGAGCCTGTCACCAATTGAAGGCAGACGGTGTTGACTCGCCTACGTGCACCTTCCGCCATTGTGAGTGCATGAAGAAAATGCGCAGCAATCAACAGAGTCAGGAGCTACTGCGCAGCCTGTCCGTACTGCCCCAAAAGCGATACGAACAATATTATTATTATTATTATTATTATTATTAATTATTATTTTATTACGTTCTTATAGGCTTGTAACTATTATGGACATTAATTATTGCTTCAGAGATTTTTTAAGAATTTAAGCGTTTTGATTTAGTATTTTTCGGTCTTTGCTGATGAGTAAGAACAGTAGAGCAGCATTATGGGTAACAGTGAGGGGGGGGGTCAGGGAGGGGGTGTCAGCAGGGGGGTCAGTAGGGGGTGTCAGCGGGGGGTCAGTAGGGGGGGCCGGCAGGGGGGTCAGTTTGGGGGTGTCAGCGGGGGGTCAGGGGGTCAGCGGGGGGGGGCAGTGGGGGGCCAAAATGACTGGGATCAGATAAAATTAAGTATCAGGTGCCGGTGTCGTTATATGGAAACAAATTGAAATCCCCCATGACTACTTGGATAGAGCAGAAAGTAGTGGTGAAAGTGTATAGTCGTAAAGGGGTAGTATATATTAGTTGTTGGAATAGTAGCGATGATTGTGAGAAAAGTGATGTGTATTAGGAAGAATAAATTGTGTAATTGGTTTACTGGCAAAATTATAATAGCGTCACTGGTAGTAGTAGATGTTGAAGCATGTGGTGATAGTAGAAGGCACGGTGGTAGTAGTAGAATCAAATAGTTACAGCAATGGTTTTGGGGAGTAGCCATAGTAGTATAAGTAGTAAGGGAAATTTAAAGAACTAAAAGTAGCAGAATCTTAATGAAAAGCATGATATTAGAAGTAGCATAATTCTAATACATAACAGTATTTTCACTGAGTTAATTCAACTTTGCCATTCGTATCATTTTAGAAATACACACACACACACGCACCCGCAACACACTGAGTTCGACCCGCAAACCACAATTAGTGAGTATACACACCAACACATTTCACACACAACTATATATATATATTATTATAATATATATATATATTTATATAAATATATTTATAATATAATTTTATATATATATATATTATATCTCGGGCGTCTCCACCGAGGCAGGGTGACCCTAGAAAGAAGAAATACTTTCACCATCACTCACTCCATTACTGGCTTGACAGAGGCGCGCCGTTACTCCAGTTCAGATGTCCCTCCAGACTGCAAATATACCCCCACCCAAACTTATACACAAATGTAGAAACATGCACTGTGAAGATGAAAGTGTCTTGTGGGATCGAACCACTCTGTTCAACTGGTCAGGGAACAAGTAGCTTCAGTAGGAATTATTGACCAATACATTAGTCTGTGGTGTAGTGGTCAGCCTGACTGCCCCACTACCTGTGCAACGTTATTCGAGACTACGTTGTTACGTTTTCTTCCTAATGTTACACTGAGGTAAAGTGAAATTTTAGTTTGTACATGTTTTATACATTGATGGTATTTTTGCTGTCATGTATTTCCAAGCGAGCTTGCCAAATCAAAAACGAGTTACTGGCAAAAGTTGCGCCACTGTGCAATGAAATATGTGTTAAAAAAATTCTGGTACATATTTTTTTGTAAAAAAAAAATCGTTTGCATGGCTGATACATCATAATGATGTATTTTATGACGTATTCTTTAAATAATGTCAATACTGTAGTAGCATTTCATGTGTAACTTTCTCCGTTGAGTCTCCACGTTTAATGAAGTTTGTTGTAAACATTGTACTAAATGGTGTCTGAGATCCTTGTCATAGTAGGTCTACTATTTTTAATAATATATTTAATGTATTAAATCATATTTAATTGATAGTTTTTTAAGTCTGTTAATGATGGTTAAGTGACGGTAGTGGACACCGAGGCTACAACCTACTTTGTCTTGTATCCTTAAGTAGACACCTAGGCTACAACCTACTTTGTCTTGTATCCTTAAGTATACTTTATTCCGTAACAGAGTTAAGGATTAAAGAAGACACTCAGGGCGTATGCATTGATGTATTCATCTTTTGATGTATATACCCTGATATGTTAATGCTAGAGAATCTTTTATATGCGGTATATTATATGCTTACATTTCATAGACGACGTCTCTTGTTTTAATTGTAACATTTAGGAGTAGTGTTTGATGTGGAAACATGTGCAGCAAGGTCAGATACCCCATGTAGCAAGGTCAGATACCCATGCTGCTAGGTCAGATACCTCATGTAGCAAGGTCAGATACTCCATGCTGCAAGGTCAGATACCCCATGTAGCAAGATCAGATACTCCATTCTGCAAGGTCAGATACTCCCATGCTGCAAGGTCAGATACTCCCATGTAGCAAGGTCAGATACCCCATGTAGCAAGGTCAGATGCCCATGCTGCAAGGTCAGATACCCCATGTAGCAAGATCAGATACTCCATGCTCCAAGGTCAGATACCCTATGTAGCAAGATCAGATACTCCATGCTGCAAGGTCAGATACCCCATGTAGCAAGATCAGATACTCCATGCTGCAAGGTCAGATACCCCATGTAGCAAGGTTAGATACCATCCGCACGGCAAGCCATCTGGTGAAGCAGTGCCCATCAACGCGGATGCCAGACTGTGACCAGGAGGACAGGCTGGACGAGATCGACAACACGAACCGCTGCTGAGACAGATCTGAGCATACTCAACGGGCTTTCCATGTCTTCATTTCGAACAATGAGTTTGCTCTTCTTCAGCAATTTAAAAACTTTCCATTGAAAATTCTACGAAATCTTGGAAGTTGAATAAATGAATTAACTGCATAAGCATTGAGATGAATAAGAAAGTTTTGGACAGCTGCAACTCTTTCTGAATTTGTGGTGACTTCCTGGGACATAATCATGTGACCCAGGAATTACATTTGTCACTTTTAATCTCATAAGTTAGCCTCGTCCAGTTGTTACAAATTCTTTTTTTTTTTTTCAAAATTTCCAGGTATATCTTGATACAACACTAATGGTATCTAAACACACAAGTGATAAATTTACAATTAATAGTCGAGAAATTTTGATCATGAGCCTCAAGAATGTTGTAAGACTAGTGTGAAGTTCAGATGGCATACACACCACGGTTCTGACTATTTGATATTGAGAAAACTGTCAGCTCGTCACACTCTTAATCGAATGAAATTTGGCAGATTCCCTGAACTGTATTAAGACTGAAGAAACTATTTTGTTCACTGTTTTACAGTAATTCACTGAGAACTTGTAAATAAAATATATTTGTAACTATAGAACTGTTAAGCCAAAAATCAATGACTGCATGTCAGGTACCATTATTCTTAGATACAAGCATTAGTGCCCCATTCCAAGGTTAGGTAAGGTTTGTCAGGAAACAGGACAAGTGTTTCCTTTTCAAGGCAAATTGCTCTGTTTAATCCAATAATTCCATGGTATAACAAGGCATCCCATCCCGTAATTCAGTGCCCATATGGCAAGCAGACATTACCAGATGACTTCCTCTCGTTACGTAATACACCTGTTAATAAGTGAGGATTATGTAGACGTGAAATGCTGGTACATGCAACTACTGACTCTGAGAATTATTGAATGTTTATCTAGGATAACAGAATAATTCGACAGGATAAAATGAGCATGTTCGACCCAGCACAGGTGTTACTAGCAATGGTTCCGGATCAGAATAGAATAGGACCAATGTATATATTAGAGATCTTTTTTGTTCCTCGTAAAGTTTTTAAACACATTAAGGGAAATAAATGTAAGTTGCCAAAAAAATATCGACAGACGAACAGGAATGAAAGTTAGAGGAGAAAAAATAGTCTGATCAAGAAATATCAGCTATGCCACCATCTTCTCTAACCTTAAACAGCCTAACGGATGTAAGGTTACACTTCATTAGTTACGAGCCTGAGGGTTAGGTGTAAATCCCACTGCTGCCACCATTGCACCTGTGGCAACAGCGGAAGCAGCAGTTAGGTAGAGTATTGCTGAAATTTGTCCTGTTTCGCTAAATTCAACATAGTAGTATGACACACCACACCTCAAGAG